GGATGCGAGGTCAATGGTCTAACGACTACGGCATGCACGACTATGAGTACACCCCCCCCACTCGGGGTCTAGGTCTAGACTAGTAGACTAAGTAGTCACGTCACAACCGTTTTTATTTTTCTTCTTGCGCCTTTTTCCAGATTCTTGACGTATTATACTGCCTCATATTTTCCTCCTGTAGTTCTGGGCTTGCGTTGTCTTCCCATGCGCACCTATTGCTACTGTACTAGTCAAATCTGATTTTTCTTTTTGTTTTGAGTACTTCCTGCGAAGTCTCGGCGTTCCTATCTAGACTAATACATATTTTGTGTTCCTCCATTGGGCCCCTCTGTCATGCGACCCTCATCCTTCCCATCAATTACAACACTCCCGCCCTTGGTATCCAGCCTCGCCCACCATCCACACCACCTCCCTTCCACCATCACCTAGGCCCCCCACGTCCGGAGACCCTTGTATTTCTAAATGTCATGAACTGGGACCCCGTGAGGGGGCGGCATGGGGGAGGCTACGCGATTCTCCGGATTAAACACGAGGTTTGTGTGTCCACGGACAAGGTGGGCAGAAGGGTTCAGAACAGGTTCATAAGCAAGGGTGCGGTGGTAGTGACAGAAAGGTAGATACCATTCCAAGACTGCTGTTGCTGGTAGTAAGGGGGTTGAGGACAAGCGAGGTGACACCGCATTTCCTCCTAAGGTGCTGGTGTTACTTGCTGCTAGTAGTCAAGCGGGTACGACAACAAAAGCGTGTGTGGCGGTATTCTTTCTTCCGAGGATGGCTGATTTACTCCAACTGTGTTGCTATGCATACCATAGTCTAGTCTACCAGAGGGGGTGGATTGTCTCTAAAAAGGTGGAGATTGCTGCTAGACTATGCAAAAGTCTGTGTGCCAAATAAATAAATGTGTGCAAGGGCAAGCAAGCAGTGGCTTGCCTTGATGAGGTCTGATATATCTGTCTACTATCGTGATTCCTTCACATGTATGTGCCGTTGCAGCAGCAGCAGCAGCAGCAGCAGGTGGTAGGTGCTCGAGGTATGATACATGAGCAGAGAGGGTTGCTTGCTGCTTCGAAAATAAATACTGATCGGGCCTCGAGGAGCCGGTGCATGAGCCGCGGAGATAAATGTTTGAATTTTTTTGTGACTCCACGGATGTGATCTTCTCCATGCTGCTGCTGATATTCATGGTTGTGCTGAGGACGGTGGGCATCTTGTACCCTGGAACTCTCTTTTTATACGTGATCACGGTCATGGCAACTACCCGAGAGTTTCCGTGATAAAATGTGGTGAAACACCGGGGGGGGTGGGGGAATATGTGATGTGGCCCGTGTGATAAAAGTGGCCAACTGCGTTTGGATGCCCAATCAAGCATACATGTACATAGAACGGGTAGCGATCTCGCAGGGTGTGGAGGTGGGAAGGATTGTTTGCGAACTGCTCTGTGCATATGTATTCGTCTCGGTTCATGTTTGACGTCCCAGTCGGGTTGTTGGGTGGTACTAGACAGGGCAGGGTGATGAGCCGCGGGGTATCCGACTCTAATCATATCTTGCAGTAGTCCATCTGCGATGCCTTTTTGCGTGACGAAGCAGCGAAACATTTCGAATTTTGAATCCGAGTGTTCAACAACAACAGCAGCAATAGATATGGATTCGATGCGCCATGTTGAGAAAAATAGATATTGCCCCGTCTTCTGCAACGAACGGCCGTTGGGATTCGTTCGTATACAGCAGTACCGTAGATGACACAAGATGCCATCCCCTGGACCAATTTAGAACACTCGGTTGCTCCGCAAGACAAAAAGCGGCGGTGCCGAAAGTGGTGGTGTGGGAAAACCGTCTCGTCGAGAGCTTTCCGACAATCCGATAACGTCTCGCTGGGTCTACGCATCCTCTTCGTCTTGGAATACTCGAGCTTGTCATCTCGGTACAGGGGGTGTGGTATCCCATGTGCCATCAACGTTAGAGCTGTATGCACAGACTATAAGATACGTGTGCGTACGTTCCTGAACCGATTTGGTCTTTCGGTGTTTCCTCTGCACAGAGTGACGTAGCAGCAATTCAAAAGCTATCCCCCGCGAGTTGTGTGTATTCCACGCCTTGTGTGGCGGCTGACAGAGGCCACAGGGCCATAGGACCCACGGAAGCTGAAGGGGCGAGAGTCGGCAGTGCATGTGTTTTTTTTTCGTCCTTGACTCCATTTCTTGTGCGTGCATGCGAAAAAACACCGCCAAAAAAGATATAGAGGCTTTTGTTGTGTAGTTTTTTCCCATGGCCAGCTTTGTTTCCAGGTGACCCCTCCACACACACCGAAGCGAAAGCAAAAGCAAAGGTATCCGACACGAGCTGTGTCCATGCTCCATCCTGTGTGGTAATTGATACAGACCAGAAGGATGCAACACGCTCAGTAATTGCGAGCCCGAGAGTCTGGGAGAGCCTGTAAAAACGCGCCGCGGGTGCTCGGTTCAACATGTTTTTTCACAGGCCAACTTTCGGTTTACATGCAGCGATGATCCCTCTCTACATAGACTACATACCGAGGAACAACAGCAATTGACAAAGGTATTCGCCCTTAGCTCTGTGCATGGCTCCCCCGCAAGTGCTGTCGTGCCGCTCCCGGCAGTGTTACGTGTTTCGCTTTGTTCTTCCTCTGTTCTCCTGGTGTGAACCAACCGCGTGTGTTCGTGTGGGAGATGTCCGCTTTTTCCATACCTGTGCAACTCCCTGGGGTAAGGGTGAGTACTGTTCGATAATTCGGGTGGCTCAGTTGTGTGTGATGGGAGTGTAGAGCAGCTCGGCCATGACGGGCCGTAGGGGTAGGTAAAGTCGTACAGACGTGTTGGAAAACGTGTTGTATCCGTGTTGTATAACGTGTTGTGTTCGTGTTGTATTAATCGGGGGCGTGCTTGAGCTCGTCATTCCATCACGGCATCAAGTCACGCATAACGCTCAAACACCCAAAACGAATCTCCATGAATGTCCACCAATCTACCACACTCCCAAGGAAAACATAAAGAAAATTCTTGTTCCTCCGTAGTTCGTCACTGCAAACCCGCATATGTATACGCAATATACCACCCCCATGCTATGCTACGAGTAAATCGAATAGCCCCCCTGCTCGTAAGCATCGTCATGCTCCGGCAAAATATCAAAGTCATCCTTCTCATACCAGTTCATCCCAAAACACAATCAAAACCAAGACAAAATTCAAAATCCCAACACCAAAACAATACGTCCGAAAATAATCAATCGCATACCCCGACTCTTCCAAATCACCAAGAAAAATCCCAAACACTAACTCTCCAAAACACTACCATCTCCACTTGACTCTCTCCGTCTCTTGTTCAAACCCGTACATATCCTCTCTCTTCCACTCCGCGGCAAAACATGATTTGATCCCAAAACACTTACTTCACTACAAATTCATCACAGAGTCTCTGTGCAACGCAAAAGATTCCTTGCTGATAGCCTTCAAGAAATATGCATGCTGAAACTCCGACGTCACGTGAGTAATCGAAATCTCCTTGCTCTCTACCAGTTCCCTGATAAAGTGATGCCGTACATCGATGTGCTTCGAGTTTGAGTTCGTGACCGGAATGCACGGCATACCTGCATCTGGCAACATAAATCGCCAAACCCGCCTCAAGAAAAGCACTTCCTTCAAGACGTCGGCAATTGCCACATACTCTGCTTCCGTTGTGGAGAGCGTGACGCACTTTTTGCGTCCTAGAAAACCAAGTCACACACCCACCCCCACACATCACTAGTCCTCCTGAGACCGACCTACGGTCTTCTGCCTTGCTTGCATAGTCGGCATCCACAAACACCTGCATGCTCATGCCAGTGACCACTCCCCTCTCAAATGTAATCCCCATCCAACTCGTCCTACGCACGTACCCTAAAATACCAAGTGCTGCCTTCCAGTGCACCATCTTGGGAGAAGCGCAATACCGCGCTACTGCTCGTACTGCAATCGCGATGTCCGGCCGTGTCTGTGTGGCCAACCACATCAGGGTTCCCGCAAAGGTGCGAGTTTCTTAGCCCAGATCTTTCAAACCAGCCACCTGAGCGCGCAACAATTTTGAATGAGGCAATTAACTGTTTCACGCAATCATTAGTTGTGTGCATTAATTCACGGCCCGGAAAACGTGCACTTCGTAATATTCTGAAGTGTGGTAGATTGTGTCAACGGTAAAAAAGCTGGCCTCATCGAGTCGATAGACACAGAAAATGGGATGAACATTTTCTTGAACATATTCTGAAGAGCGTCTTCGTGCAGAGCTTCTACAATACGTTAGACTGCACCAGCCGGTGTCATATCTCAGCAATGTGCTGCAACGCAATCCGTCAATCCCAGCACCAAAGGAAGAGAGCTTCTAGCTAGACGTTGGGGGAGGGTAATAATGCGCAGGCGAATCCGAAGACAAACGCCGGGAACCGGAAACGGTCGGGGACCACTATCTGAACAAATACCCAGGGCCGCAACGCGCTTGGCCGAACGAACACAAAAGGCAGACTCTAATGCAAGGGATATCGACGAGACACCCCTCGCTCCACGCATGGGTAACCCATCAACCCTCGAAAAGGTTTGTGGACAAAGTGCAGATGTCGTAAACCGAAAAAGTTGGCCTTGGGTGTGTAAAACTGCTTGTGACCACTCCCTGGCAATGCATCGTGTCGAACACATCTGAGCCACCACCCACACCTTTTTTTGCTCTTTACGTTTTCTCACTTCGACAAACGGCCCCGAGCACTCGCCTGTTCTCTCTCCGGGGAGACTTACCTAGAGGACATCCCCGCTCGTCTTGGGTTACGTGATTTGCTCACCACACAGCAAGAAAATGAAATCTCGAACATCACGACTGTTGGTGCTGCCGCTTCTGGGTGCGTTCATCTACTCGGCAATGTATCTCTAGCCGACACCAGATCTAGGCCGTGACTCCTACCGGCTCGCCCTCAACAACAACGGATGTGGGGCGTTGGCTTCTGCGTGTCTCGCGATCTTCGGTTGACGAGCGCCCCCGAATCATAAATGGTGTGGGGTTCTTCAAGCTCGGGATGGCTGGGGTCTCCCCTTCCTTGAGTGTGGATAGATGCACACGAGCAAGGGTGGCGCTCCATCGTCATGACGTAGCATTGAGAAGTGGAAGGGGTCAGAGGCGGGAAATAAAAGCGTTTGTGTGGTAGCGAGTCGCTGGTGAACGCCGTGCACTCGGTGGCTAGGTGACCAGGAAGGCACTTCCATTTCACTCTTTTGGAGGGGGACACTCGACCAGTCTGCCGATACTAAGGTGTTTTCAGAACTATTTCTTGCATGTTCTAGTCTTTCCCTACACGATGCGCCGCTATTCGCACAACACAATTGGAAGGTGATTGTTCTATTCACCGATTTGCCTTCGGCTTCGCCTTGTCCGCCGTTTCTCTCGTCTTCCCAGTCGGGCGGCTGCTCTCTAACCTCCGTAGCACCCTGTGAAGCATCCGGTGACTTACTCGTACTGCTTGTGGCCGACAAGCGGCGTATTATTTCATCGGTCCCGCGCTTCGTGTAGAACGCACGCGCTCGTAACCTTGGCAGCTTTTCTGGCTCAGCTACCGTGAAGAACACTGCAAACGAGAGTAGCACGTAACCTGTGAACGGAGTAGAAGAAGAGGGGTTGCTTGCAAACGTCACAGACGCCAACTGAGCTCCGAAGTGAAAAGATGCAGGAAACATGCTTGTTCGTACTGAAACGATATAGGCGTCTATTGATCCCGCTACACGCATCTAGGCCGAGAAGCTTTGACGTGTTGACTACTGGATGAAAGGAAAGTGTCGATAAGCCTCAACGACGATATCTGTCGCCCTCCACTCCATGTCACGTACATCTGATTGAGACAGAACCGTTCCACGCATCCTTCGACATTTTGCCAGAGGAAATGACTCTTGACAAGGTAACCGCCTATCCTCTAGAGAGTACATACAGCATAACGCGCCCGGTAGCCACTAAACTTACCCCAGAACCCGCCGATATTGCCCAGCAAGTCACCAATATCCAGCGGGTCGATGTCCTCAATTATGATGAGCGAATACGAGCCTTGCAGCACGTATATATTGAGAAATCCCCCAGAAAATGACGGAGACGAAGCGCTGGTATCGTCTGCACGCAGGAAGGTGAAAGAGTCGTCGTCCAACCCAGAGAAGTATGTCCACGAGTCGACGCCGTCGTCGTAAGATGTGGTATCACTGGTTGATGATGATGATGAGGAGGAAGAGACAAGTCGACGTCGTTGCCGGCGTTGACGAGAAGCGCCGGGTGGCGTAGTGGATGCCTCGGATGGAGAGAACGTACTGCTGGACAATGTCGACGAAGTGGTCGTATACTCAGTAGAAGATAATGACGACCGCGTCGACTTGTCGTCATTGTCGTCATCATTGTCGTCGTCATCGTCGTCATCATTGTCGTCGTCATCGTCGACGTAGAAGTCGTCGTCGTCGTAGCCGTAGCCGTCAACGTAATAGCCGTATACGACTGGTATTGACGAAATCGTCAAAGCCGGAGTGATGACCCTGGATTCGGATAGTAGGTACTTCCTCTCGGTTCTGCCAATGGTCTAAGATCCGACGACCAACCCACAATCCCACGGGGCCAACCGAGGTGCGATACCACATGGCAAAAGGTTGGCAATCGCACGTCAACAAACGAGAGCGATTTTGAAACGACCGCCGCGATAAGCACTCTGGTGAACATGTGCTAGTTTCCTTGGAAGCTGCATATACCTTCATATCTATCATGACACCGTGACGACGATCTCACGAATATTTCCACCAAACTCTCCAGAGATGAATTTGCATTTCACCCACACCCGACCTCACCAGTTGTACCTCTTCCAGGTGTAGTTCCTTGGTCTCGATGGGAAATTCGTTGCGGGTATAGGGAAGGTTCACGTACTCCTGGATCCCACCTTCTTCGCTTGACAAGTAGACGTCAAGTATTGGGCTGTGGTCAGCACGATACAAGCAGTCACGAAGACACGCGAACAAAAAGCGTGAAATCGTGCTGAACATCGACGTTCATGGTCGTTCCGGTGAACTGCATTTTCTAGCTGTTTGGCAATTTGACGAACGTACACGAATGACACGTCGGCCCAAAGCGACCTGGAGTGGCCTCAGAAATTCTGTCGGGTGTCTGGTACATTCGGAAGCGGAAGAGGGGGACAGCATTCGTGTATCGTTGGAAACGGTTTCCTGAAATGCTTGATCAAGCAAAACGATGGATGATTTAACCTCGCTGCGGACTTGAGACGCGAACTACTGCTGCTGTGCGCTGAATCACCAAACTGCTCTGTGGGGTGTCCTTCGTCTGCTGGACTTGTCTCATGATCGTGTCTGGTTGTCTACGGGCTATGGAGTGCCTCTTGATAATGTTACAATATACAAGGTCTCCGGGCTCGGGCGCCGGGCGCCCTCGCCTTCGGTATTGGGCTGAAAGGAAGGGTGGTGCGTGTGAGAGTTTGCACATCATACCAAGGGCACGAAGAGAAGCACAGAGCTGGAAAATCGTTCCGAAAACAATAAGGAATGTTGCGACAAACGGAAAACTCGAACATTTGATCGATTACCAAAACTATTTTTCTCATCTCTACTTGGAATGACGACGTCAACTATTCATCGTCGATCTAACTATCCAAATAACTGTGGTATGCATGTGACTCAAAAGGTCAGCAAATGGTTGAATGTCTTCTTGGCCTAGAGGGCAGCCTCCAGGTCGGTGAGGGTATATCCGACTGCAGACTTTCTAGAAAAATCGTTGTTGCTGTTGTTGTTGTCTCCACATTGATAACCGTTCCGTTTTCTCTACCCAGTACCTGCTTCTGTCCGTACTAGTCTATCGACGACAAATGGACTAGGACACTACGCTCGCCTATACACGTAATTCGAGGTAACATTTGAATGGAAGAAAACAAGAAAAGTATACAGAAAAAAAAGAGGAAACTGAGAAATGGGAAAGAGACCGACAAAGAGAAGGACACACGCCCGAGCCACTAACGTTGCGACAAGAAAAACAATAAAAACACAACTCGCGGAATGCATATATATGACCCAAAAGGCCGGTAAATGGTTGAACGCTTTGTTGGACTCTACAGGGCCGCGTCCGACTTGGTTCTGGTGGGGTTATCAGACGCGAGCCCTAGCCGTACACGTAGCAAGCAAATGCAGGTGCGTGCCTCGTTGATCCCACTGACTCACTGTTGGTAATATCTACATCATCTATCAATCATTTACATTGTGAAAGGCATGCAGGGAGACTACGTAGCGTCAAAAATGTTGTCTTCATTGGACACAACAGCTTGATCACATGCAAGCATGGCATATGCTGATGATGAGTTGACGTACTCCCACAATGCCTTGTCCAACCATCTGCGCGATTTTTTAGAGTGACAATCCCGTGCGTAGATTTGCCCTGGTACAGGAGATTCAGCTCGCCCTTTGAGTCTGGGGCTTGCCACAGCGGCGTTGTGGTGTTAAGGTTGGCACGGTAAGGTCGGCAAAGACGGCCGAAAAAATGTTTCAACAACGTTCTACAAAGTTTTAAACCGAATAACCGCACCACAATGTCGAGCTCAAAACGACTGAAACAGTGGTTGCGTCCATTTACAGCACTGTACCTCCACTCTCGCGTTCGGAGTTTCGAGCTCGCGACAGGGGCGTTGTGACCAAGAGCCTGGCCCACTCAAGTAGGCGAAGGCCGGCGCAACAAATAATACTAAGGCGACTGCAGACTGATGCACCGAAAAAACTCTTGCTTTTAGAGTGCAACAATACTTGAACTCTTGCGTTTCGCAGAAATAATTGTAGTTATGTCTACAAGGACTCCGGCCGCGGGGGTCCATCGCCGCCCCGCGGCGGTAGACGGAAGTGGCAGGGCCCACTGCCTCAGGCGGGCATATTTTCGGTCGCATGCCGCACGCCAAGGTTTGATAGCGAGACCGATGCGAAGGCGTCGGCGTTCGCAGAGATGATCATGTGGTGGTACGACCCGTCTTTTTGGGGAGCAAATCCTCCTTTGGATATATCTTGTCTTTTTTTACCTTTCGGGCAGTCTGCATCCCGAACGAACACAAATCAGCTGTTCGACCTTCGAGAACAGTCACATCTTTGGAAGGATCTTGCGTGAAAATTGCACATCTTAAAAAAATCAAACGTGGACCCTGGCGAAACAAAACGCAATCTGTAGACATCTAAGCCGAAGCTGTGACCATTCTTCAAGGTCGAACAGATGATTCGCATCGTTCGGGAGCAGACTACCCAAAAGGCCGAAAAAGGTAAGACTTGCCCAAAACAAGTTTTCTTCCCGTATGTCGGAGTCTAGTAAACGCGTTGGGGTGTTGGCAAGAACGGTATTGGTCGTAAATTTGCTAAGGCCAACATGAATACTAAAGCCGAAACGGAGGACGGGCTAAGTCCACACAAGTGTGGTGGAAAAGAACACGACGCGGCGTCAAAAGCCAGGAACACTAGATACGAACTGCAGGAAAGCAAACAAACGTGGAAATGCCCAGCCAGGCAGATGTACTAAGAGAGAGTTGTTAAATAGACTTGGGGGGGAGAAAATGTAAAAAAACAAGAAATTTCCTGGAAACTCAACGTTTAACGGTTAACACGCACTACAGATGAGAAACCGCCCGCACTTACTGAAGAACCTCTGGGTAGTTTCGACCGAGGATGGGCATCTAAGATCCTCTTGTGGGCTACCAACGGCCGCCATATTGGTTTAGTGTAAGTGTAGGGGTTCTGAACCTGGCTCAATGGAGCCCAAATTCTTATAGCTTTTGAATTTGTCGAGGTTCAATTTCTATGCTGCGAAGTTCGCGAGTGCGGGCGCTATGTGTAGCTTGTTGCAGAAAGGACGGCAACTTGCATGCCCACGCCCTCAAGCAACACAAATTGATGTCGTATGGTACATGCCATCGTAGGTTGGTAGCAGGAGCCGTTCCTCGATTATATTTGGGGGGAGTGGGTGGAGCGATGGGTGGAGTTGGTGTTCAGGGCAGCGGCGGAGGGAAACGTGGGGTAGGGACAGGCTGTTTGAGGTGTTAGTTGTGATGGGGAAAATAGGTGCGCATTCGGTGCAAATCTATTAGTGTACTGCATGTTCGCACCTAACGAACGAACCAACGAACGAACGAACATCGTTTTCACATCAAGATGGCGGACTGCAGCTGCTATTTTAGAGTTTTCACAGTAACCCACAACAACAACGTCATTTTCAGCCATCAATTACATGCATGTGCGCACTTTTGTCGATGATGAAGATACCACTGCTGTAGTTTCAGGCACAGGAGCCAAACATCATTTAAATGCTGTTGGATATCGCCGTGACATACACACATGCATGCTTGGTCATGTGTTTGTACCACATGTAACAGCTCACACGTGATTTTCTCAAAAAAAGTAGACCCTTCTCTTTAGAGTGACGAAGAGGACAAAGTTGAACTGAGTTTACAACCAATCGTGACTATTTTGTGGACCCCGAAGGAGGAAGCATTTTAATGGCCCAAACATTCAACAATGTATTCCAAATATCTTTTGCCCGAAGTTTCCTCAAAGACCACCAAAGTTCCAGTGAATAGTTCATCGTTCTCGACGTAGAGATTGGTATCGCAGCTTGCCTCGGGCAACCGTGCTGGTCCGATATGCATAAATCTACCATGACGCTTGTAAGACCGGGTCCGACATTAACAGGTGGACCTCAACAATGCCAACGAAACATCGTCTAAATGGAAAAAGAAAAAGCCTGACGTGAAGCGACACGAAGAACCGGCACCGTGTAGCAACGAGGTTCACTAAACCTCGTTCAGTGACACGCGTTTCCCTCCTTGAATCTGTCGGGCTGGGCAACCATTTGGCCTGTCTCACCTTGTAGCGTCCTCCAAGGAACTGTTATCACTGCTAATCCAGCTCATCTGCTTTCAACAGAGCGTACCGCGAAGACATAGTGTTCATTTTCGGGTCAGCCTCATCGTAGATATGGTAATGTTCAACGAAAGCGCCATGAACCTAGTTTGTTTATGGACGAAACTATATTATGTAGACAGATCTACCTCGAACCAGTCAACGCCAATGATATGGGGATGGAGTGTAGACGCATAGTAGTCATGTAGAGTATTAGACATTAAGTGAAAGTTTTCTGAGGTATATCTGCAATTGTCGGAAGGGAAAAATAAATAAATAAATAGGGTAAGATGTTATCATGAACGGAGAAGAAAGGGCTTTTCCGACACGGAGATGTAGCATGGATCAAAGCATTTGTTGGATTTCAGCTTGTCGAGAGGATACCCACGCCGTATTAATTCAGCAAGCTTACGAACGCATATAGGATACCATGAGGATTGTCATTGGTTTATTTCAAGTTGAAGAGGAGATATTTTTACGATGTAAGTGACAGTAGAAATAAGTCCTACATATGTTGTTGTACTTCGTATTGGTTAAATATTCATGTAGAGTATGAAACATTAAGTGAAAGTTGTCTGGGGTACATCTGCAACTGTCGGAAGGCAAAAAAAAAAAATGTAGACAGACCTGGCCCAGACCGGGCCCAGACCCGGCCTTTCTTTGCCGCTTGATTTGCTTTGTGCCATCGGCCATGCTACAGGGTAGTCTACACACCCCAAGTTATTGCAATTTTCTTGTAAAACGCAGCCCTCTCTGAATACAGTGCGTGACCGAGCCACCATGCTCTGCTGTCAATTGCACGAGAACCATGAAGGCTATCATGTAGGAAATAAAGCAGC